GCAGAAATTTTTCCCGGGACCGTTTTTCCCCACCTTTGACATCTTTATGATGGGTGGCCTCCACCTCCGAATTTCCCCAGGCCGGCTTGGCTGGGTGGGGAATTCTGGGAGTTGAAGTCCACACATCTTAAAGCTGCCGAGGTTGAGAAACAACATCCTACCTTTCCTCCAGGAAATCAACTTGCCAAATGCAGTACTCCATCCTCCAATTTTCCCCAACAACCACCTTGCAAGGTAGGTTGGGCTGAAGGAGAGTGACTGGTCCAAAGCCCCCCAGGGATCCCCACTACCCCCCATTGACTTTCCATGGAAGTTAGCATTCTTCCCTTTACACAGCTGGGTTGAAGTAAGTTTATCTATCGCTCCTTCCTCGGATTTTTCTCTATCATAATAGCCCTGTGAGGTTGGTTGAATAGAACAGCTGATAAATCAAACCAACTAAATAAATATATGCACGCCATGGAGCCCACAGCTTTGTGTGATCTGGACGTGACAGCATAAAAAAAAAAAAAAATGGCAAGCCTGCCATTTGGCTGATGGGGAAAAAGCAAAGTAGGAATGGGTGTGGTATTTGGATGGGAGACCGTCAGGAGATCCTATGGCTGTAGCGTAGACTTGGAAATTGAAAAACACACTAGGACAAGATAGTGGGGAATCATCTCTGCCCTGTATGCAAAGGCTTCTATGGGGTCACCAGCAGTCAAGCTCAATAGGATGGAAAGTAGAACAGGTATCAGCATCTGGCCAAGTAGGTTAGTATTGGATGAGAGACCACTCAGAGATCCCTGGCTGTAAGTTAGTCCAGGAAGTTGAAAATAACCTAGAAAGCAGGTAGTGATCAATCATTTCTGTACTGTTGCCATAAGATCACCAGGAGAAGACCTCAACTCAAGCCAGCCTTGGCTTCTTTACTTCGGTCCACAAACACAGAAATGAGTTCCAGCAGCAGATACTCCCATTCTTGAATTCTGTTTTGATCCTCTCCTGCTGATGCATCTTTTTCAGAAAAGAAGTTGGTCAAGACAGTTTGCAAGAGTCTTAAATGAGAGCAAGCATAGAAGAACTCTGGGCGGAGACGTCAACAGGGGCTCAAAAAAGTCCAGACGCCATCAGGAACTAGGCAGTCAAACGCATCCCCTTTTAACATGCATTGCATGTAATTTACATTAATTAATTTACATGCAAAAGGGGCGGGGCTTTGACTGCATGGTCCTGGAGGCCGCCTGGAGCACCCCCCTTGCAATAATCAGTGAACTCTCCTTGCAGACACTCTTAGCTCTCATCCACGTCTTCCTCTTTAGATGTTAAAGATGTGAACCTAATGTGGAATTATATACCAGAGCTGTGGAATTTGACTGTTTATAAGGAATTTTGTTGGTATTGAACATGGGGGGGGGGGGACAGGACTAAACGAATTATATTAAGAAATTGGAAAAGTGATATTATTCCTAATGCCAAGGAATGGTTGTCAGAAATGTATGATAGATCTGTTTTGGAAAAAGCAATATTTTCTACTAATTCTACTAAGGATGAACAATGTGTGTTACTACGGCAGAGATTTTGCCAGCTCTTACAATATCTTGTTCTGTTTGTATTCTAGCAGTGACTTCATTAGTAAACCAGTGACTCTCGATAAGTATAAAATGTAAAGTAGATTTTTTTCTTTTCTTTTCCTTCTTAATTTGTGTTTTTAATTTAGACTTTTTTTAAAAAAAAATTCTCTTTAAGATTAAAGACTGTCTTGTTAATTGTGCGTGTATAAAGTAACTAACTAGAATTAAAAACATTTCTGTTCTCCCTTTCCGGGCTGATATGAGTCGATGCCTCAAAGGGAACGGTTTGCAAAGCTATCCTGGCTCCGTGAGTGACCACTAGCAGCTTACCTGCTTCCCCACTTCGCAAACAGTCGGCATGGACAACCCTGTTCAGCCGTTCGGGCCCTCGCTGGGTACTTTTCCTCTGCCCAAGGGCCGCCAGACGTCCCTGCGGGCCCCCGCCTGGCCTAGAGCAACTGCAGCTTAGGGAACAGCCCCTGCAGGAAGAAAAAAAAATACTGCTGTGGTTACAAGGGCACTCCTTGGTGTTGCTCATTCAACCCTACACATCAGAAGGAGCACTGCATGAATTCCTTGTATTTTAAAGCATCTGCCTTGTGGGGGCAATGCAGAGATTCTGAAGGAGAGCCATCAGAAGCAGAAAGCTGGATCCGGGCAATTGTGCATTCAAGAGAAAAAGGCTTGCTTCCCACTCTCACAACCCAGGGCCATGTTCTCCAACTTAATGTTCCAATTTTTTGGAGCACGCAGTTTCTTTGTAGATATTGAGATGCTACAGAGCCAGTTTGGTCTAGTGGTGAAGGCACCAGGCTAGAAACCAGGAGACTCGGAGTTCTACTCTTGCCTAGGCACAACACCAGCTGGGTGACCTTGGGCCAGTCACCCTCTCTTGGCCCCAGAAAGGAGGAGGCCAGGGCAAACCACTTCTGATATCTTGCCAAGAAAACTGCAGAGACTTGTCCAGGCAGTTGCCAGGAGTCAACACTGACTTGAAGGCCCACACACATACACTGCCTTTTAGGATCAATGATCAGCAGTAAAGGAACCAGCAGTCAAGAAAGACACCGCAGATGAGCACTTCGTAGAGCAGCCATGAAGGCCTTGGAAAAGATCTTCTGATGCTGGAATGTGTCTGTAGACATCAGCCCCATGCGGTAGACCAGACCAGAAAATCAAGTGCGTAGGAAGGCTAAAACTATTTTTATTGAGATTGGCTATAGTCTGATTGCGCTCTACCTCCTTCCCCTACTTATGCTCCTGTGAATTAAAGAGGTGTCTGTCTAAGCCACTTTTGAATGTTATATGGATGTTCTGGACTTAAAAAATGCTTCAACTCCTTTTCCTAGGTAATGGTTCCTGCATATCTCCATTAAGATCATTTTCCTTACTCTCTACACTGGGTGTAGACCACCTATCAGAATCATGCAAGCAGTAGTTTTCCCCAGGACACTCTATGGAAGCAAAAGTTGGACTTATTATCCTACTTCAGACACATTATGCAAAGACCCCACTCTCCGGAGAAGACTCTGATGCTGGGAAAGGTGGAAGGAAAGAGAAGAAGAGGATGACCAGCAGCAAGGGGGATGGACACAGTCGCAGTGGTAATGGGGCCACTGTTGGGAGACCTGAAGGACCAAGTTGGGGACAGACTGTCAGGGAGAAAATCCATCCACTGTCTTTGCTAAATTACAACTTCTAGCTGGCTTTGCCAGCACAGCCAACAAAATCGAAGCCACACTATGGGACTTGTCCATTTTCTCACCTGGCTGCACAAGAGAGGTTCAATCCAATACATGTAAAATGATCCATCCACCAATCTCCTTAGCTAGACTGGGGCAAAAAACTGAATGTGCCAGGAGGACTTTCCCCATCCAAAGGCAACACAAATAAAGGAGTCCAGGTATCTTCAAACTGCCCAGTCCCTCATCAGCACCTGAGCTGGGAATTACAGGGAATGGGATCCAGTGTGTCAGAAGGACGCCAGGTCAGAGAAGATCACACCACAGGAATGGTGACCGACAGCATGCTGATGGAGAAAATGACTCCCTTTGAGACGTGGAAAAAACGTGGAATATTTCTATCTGTCCAATGTTTTAGCCTCCCCAGATTTTCACTCTTATTTGGGACCGGAATATCTGTGAGGTGGTGGTGAGGAAACCAGGATGGCAGCTGCCAGATCGAAACCCCACCCTTTTTATCTCTGTCACTCATGCAACACATGGGAGTCAAAAAGGTCAAGATGGCACACATAAAAGTCACACGAAAGACGTTAAAAAAAGGGATAGAGCTTCATCTGCATGGTCACTTTCTTCCCAACTTGGAACTACAGAAGTAGGTTGGGACCCATCTGGCTCAGGTGTAAGACAGGTGAGTGATGCTCCTTTTCTCGTCCTCCTTCCTTGCGTATCTCCTTTTCCCACCCTGAAAAACATTGGGTTGCTTTAACGTCTATCAGAGGGATGGAAGATCCCAATGGGCTGGGATAGGAAAAGTCTCCTAAACCTAATTTCCACCTGGCTGTCAAAGCCATTTTGGCTCTCCAAGGACCCTAAATGGGAGTCCTTTGTCTCAGGGAAAAAAGGCAGGAAGGAAATCAGTTTTTCAGGAGGTGAGCTTTAATTTGTGACTTTCTGGAAGTCTAAGCACAAGGCCAGCCACAACTCATCTGCAAGACCCTGAGTGGGAGAAAAGAAGTGGGGAACGCTCAACATGATTTTACAGGAACTTTTGTTCCCATCTTCTTGTTTGATTTGTATACAGGGTGTACCAAAAGTCAGGCCCCACTGGCCAATCACAATACGTTTTATTCATTGTATGAATTAATATATTTTTTTCAGAGAAAAGGTTACCGAACTTAGGAATGTTCAAAAGTCATGCGTCAAATGAGAAAGAAAGTATTTAGAAGAAAATGACAACCAATGCAAATATTTAATGTAATTTACATAAAGTATGGTCCAAGGTGGCCGACTTTTGGTACGCTTGTATATAAGATTATTTTAGCCTGGTTATTTGTTGTCAACAGCTGTGTGATCAGGCCTGCCATCTGTGCCCTGCAGCATGACCCCAAGATAAGGCTCATCCCCTCAAGTGCATGGACTGAAGAATCAGGAAATGGGTTCCTTTAATCTACATTGGGGAAAAGCCATGTTCCAATCTGGATGTACCTCTAGGCTCCAGTGGAGTTATCACCTAAGCTTCTCTATCAAGCCTTTTCTACAAACACATTAAGTACAACCTAGGATGCAGAAGCAACTGCAACACACCATTCCTAAGTACATGGAAGACCACAACGTGCATAGGTATCCCTAAGAAGCCACAATGATTTCACATGCATCATGGCATCGTTGTACAAATGATGCAGTTCCTGTAGATTGTGTTCTCTGTACAATGTTATGACAGGTGTGATGTCACTGGCCTCCCCTTCCCTATCTATAGTGGAGCATTTTATTGCTTTACAAGCAGATAGGTCCGGATCCAATTCCTCTAGCTCCTGGTGGGTACTACTAGCTGGTATGGATAATACAGAGCTAGGTGAACCAGTGCCAGAGATTCCTACATATTTTCAGGGCAACAGAGACCTAGAGCAATAAACATCCATCAAAAACCTGTTCCCATGTTCTCCTGTTGACAGGAACTACCAGAAAACTCCTGTAACCCAGAAGACTTTCTGGGAGGTTACAAAGCTTAAGATAAGAAGACAGGCATCTAGAGATCAAGGGACCCAGAAGGAAGAGGCTACCGATCTTTTCTATGGGATGAGAAGTTCTCCCTGGCAGGGTGGATCCACCACTGTTCCAGCAGGGCAATCCAACACTGATCACAAGGGCTGCATGATGTAGAAGAAGAGCTTTGAATCTTCCATGCCTGATAGACATTAAAGCAACCCAACATTTTTCAGGCTTCTTCACTCACTACACTCAACACTCCCTGAGATCCTTACCAATGTTTAAAACAGAGGAGACCCCCACCCCCACCTCAACTCCATCTGCAAGCTTCAGATCTGAGCACCCACAGAAGACCTCCCAAGATTTCAGATATCTCCCAAGAGTTCAGTGAGGTCTCCTGAAATCACCCTGAAGATTTAAGCATTACTGCAACATCAATCCATTCTATTTAGCTACCTACCACCTTCCCAATTTTGTTACCGGAGAGTTCTTCACCTGCCAAATACAGCTTGTGAGTCAAACTTTAAGTCCCAATACTTTTACATTGTGTAGTAGGTACGCTGCGCTCTGTACCTTCCCCTTCCGCCAAGATTCAGACAGACGCAGTGACAAGAAATGACACGTTTCACAGGTGACATTTAAGGATCCCAAGCTGTTATTCTTCCTGTTTATTTTGTCATTTGTCAAGAAAGGAGGAAGTTATGCAAAGCACGGACCTCCGACCACCACGTTCATCTTCTGAGACTGCCGTGATCAGGAACAGTTCACCCAAGGACTAGAAATCTGATCATAAAACAGAAGCAGAGCAAAGACCACAATGGGTCTGGTTACCGAGAAGCGATGCTTGAGCGAACTGCGGAACGTGTTCTGAATGCAAGATCTTTGGCATCTTCAGGCAACAGATCTGTGATCTTGGGAGAATATATTGTATTCTTGTCAGATGCAGGAATCAAAGATGTCTTGGGGCTGGAAGAATCTAGATCATTTGATTTGTTTCCTGTGCTGGTTTGAAATACAATTCCTTTGCCACCATAGCAGCGACTTTGCACCATCATCAACTTTCCTTATTTCATGGCTCAACTTTATCCAACCGGATCCACGGCAACTATATTTGGAACGGCTTCCAGATCTCTTGGCAGCAAGTGGGAGTTAGGGCAGCTCTTTGCTCACTCAGGTGCCACATAGGAATCCTTCTGGCCTTTCAAAATAACTCATACAAGAACAACAGTAAGAAAGTTCCTTCAACATCCCAGGGTAGACTCCAACTCTGGGGTTTCATAATGGTCTCCCATACAAAGATAATCAGTCCATTCTTGCTCAGTATGTCAAGGTCAGCAGCACCCATTCCTGCCTCCCCGAACCTTCAAAAGTGAAGGCGGAAAATTTTGTGTCCTCCCTTCCCGTGAAATCACGTCACCATCATGGCTTCTATGATTCATTTTTGGCAGCCTGATTTCTCTCCAAGGGTGTCTGCCGAGGGCAGGATCATGAAAAGTCAAGAGGGAAGCTAGAAGAGACCCACCTGTTTTCACACCCATCACCAGGCACATCAAACGGGGTGGGGCTTCAACTGTATGGTCATGGCCAACATCTTGACTGTTTTGATACCACCCCCCAGACGCTCCTGCACATAAGGTCATGTAAGCATGCCTCGGATTTGCTCTCCAAACTGAATTCATTTCTGATTATGATTCAACCCCCCCCCCCAATGTTCCTTCCTCCCCCACTATTGGATCTTTATGAAGGTCCTTGACCCATAACTAAGGACAAACTCTCTGCAAGAAAGAGAGGGGAAGAATGTACCTAGTGTG